AATCCAACTGAAACCGAACTGAATGTGTTATAAACCGTTATTGACCCAAACCATTTATAAAACGAAACCATTTGAACCGTAGATAAAACCGTTTAAACCGAACCGTTGTAACCCGCTAATCGTTTAAACCGAATCGGTTATAAACCGAAACCATTTGAACTGTAGAAAAAACCGTTAAAATCGAACGTTGTATTCCGCTAACCATGAAAACCGAAATGTTGTAACCCGTTAAATCGTTTAAACTGAACTGTTTTCAAACCGCAACCCATTTAAAGCGTTCCAATTACAAACTGCAAACTGTTTAAACCGAACTGTTTACAACCTGTTCCATTTAAATTGAACTATTTACAGCCTTTAACAATTCGTTAGAATTCAGGACAGGCCCACGCATCTCACAGTCCACCAACCCACAACACAGGAAGAATGGTACACAAGCAAGTACCTCGGTAGCAAGGCAGGGGATGGCAGAATATAACAATAACATTTATACCATACATACAGGAAATCAGAAGCAACAACAAAAGCAGCATTACCGATTACCAAACTAACCCGGACGATTTTAGCACCAAACCGAGTATAAACTACACCGATATGAATCGAATTAGCATTAACCCGTGTAAACCCGCCCTTGAGCCAACCCATTTCAAACCAATTTGTTCATGACCCGAACCGATATGAATCGAATCGACATTGACCCGGGTAAAACCGCCCGTTTCAAATCGATCCGATTATGTCCCGAACCGTTTATAAACCGAACCGGCATGACTCGAACCAGTTATAAACCGACCCGGCATGACCCGAACTGCCGCGGACCCGGGTAAACCCACCCTTGAACCGACCCGTTTCAAACCGATCCAATTATAATGCGAACCGTTTGTAAATTGAATCGTTTATGACTCGAACCGAATTTAATTTGTACAAAAATAAACCAAAACCGAACTGATCTATGACTAATCAGAATAGAACTGAAACGAACCGACCCACTTGCTAAATAAAACCGTTTCAATCCGAACCATTTCAAACCAAAACCGTTTCAAACCGAGGTCAAACCGAACTGTCAAACCGAAGTCCCACTCCTAATCTTTGTAAGTAACTATTGAAATAAGAAGAATAAAGCAAAAAATAAAGATGAGAAAAAGTGATAAAAGACAAATTTATACAAGTAGGAGTAAAATAAAAAGTGAAAATTTGTTCCTTGTAATAGTTAGAAAAGTTTGAAAAAAGTTCTTATATATGTCCTTTGCGTATTAACAAACTTAAGATTCTTTCTTAGTTAATGTTTATATGTGATTATCTTTCAGAATATATAATCAACAAAAATATGTATCCATCCTATCAGAAAACAAAAAATAAATATATACGTATCCATCCAAGTAAGTAGCTCTCCTAGGAAAAAAAAAAAGCAATACTACAATATGAGAAAATTAATAAAGAAAAATCTATATATGTGAAAGTACAAGTGTGAAATTTTCTTCTAAAATAAAAAATGCTCAACTTAAGTTGTACAAAACGACGTCGTTTTGTATAGGACTATCCCATGAAACACTAGCTAAAAATTTACAGCTATAATTTTTAGATCCCAATAAATCGAGCGATAATGGAAGCAGTTGAGAGATCATGGGTATGATAAATCTAGTAAATACTTTTATAGCAAAGTTGTCTTAATTGCCTTTTAATTAAGTGTAGAAGGCATGATCAATTGATCATATATATATTAATATATTGCAAACTGCAACGTATCACAAATTCACATAGTATAACGTTACATATTAACCTTCAAACAATTGGAGAAAGAAATGTGTCGTAGAATTGGATTTGATTTATTATTAGACAAATTCATCACTATGTGAGGGTGGCGACTGCACTAATCACCATAAACCTTCGCAGCCAAGAAAGTTGCATATTATTATTACTGTTATTATTATTAAAGACTAGATTGTTATTTTTAAAAATTCCAAAATAATTTTCATGTTATATATTAATATCCTGAAATTTTAGTTAAACGAAAATAATATATATAATATAATATAATACCACTGGTCCAATTTAGTTGTAACTTTGAGGGTGTTTGCGATTACCGAGGCAATTTTTCATTAATGTTGTAAGCATGTATGTGCATATGATTAAGTGGAGAAAGAAAGTGTATAAATAAGGTTTTAATTTAAAAAAAAACTGAAAAAATAAAAAATTTGCAGAAAATTAAATTTACAGAAATCTAAATGTAATAAAATTTTTTTTAGAATTATCACCTAGTAGAAAAATCTAATTTTATTAAAAAAAATCAGAATTTATTTATTTATTTTTTAATTTTTTTTTCTGTGGTTGAAATTCTATTTTAATAATCTTAGTTAAGTGTTTTGATGTAATTTAGTTTAGTGTAATTACAAAATTAACTTTGTTTTATAATACCTAACCAAGGTCATCAAAGACTTTTAATTGTCTAAAACTTACTAAAAGAGGAAAGAAAAACCAAAGTCATAACTAATATGAACCGGCTAAAAATGGCAAAAGTTGCAACTAAGTGGAGCGGAGGTAGTAATATAATATAATAGGGGATTAACTCACCAAAATCTTAAGCACAATAATATGTTTTATATTTTATCTCTCCATGAGCCCCTCCATACTCAATGCTTAATAGTTCACTTTAAAAGTTGGGGTAAATGAGATTAAAATCTGTGACATTTTTGTCACGTTGGCTCTGATACCAAGTTAGATGACCAACTCAACCAAAATCTAAGTTGATGGTTGAAACCTAGAAATATGTTTTATACTCTATCAAAATGTTTTTTTTTTCCGCTAAGTAAAAAATATGTGTATGATACGGATTGTCAGTGTTGCCTCAAATGGTATGATACACTTTATTTTGTAATCTTCAGGATTCAAATAAAGCTCAATTTTATGTGGTTATGTTCCAATTTCTTCCCAATTGTTAATGTTGTTGTGAGAGATCGATCACACGATCCTTCTTACCAATGCAGCCGAAATCACCACTACACTAATATTCAGTTGGTTCAATACCAAATTATTGATAAACTATATAAGCTTCTACTAAATTAAGTAGGTCAACGTTTCATTATAACACCTTCAAGTTATTAATGATTCTTTCGTTCCTTTTGCGTGGGAATCAATATTTTATATACGAAGTGTGTTCCTTTTGGCTTTTGCGTGAGAATCAATAGTTATTTTCTAACTTGTATAGGATTAAACCAAAAAAGTTGGGAATGAAACTTGAAGCATGGGCTTGGAATTAAAATTGTGAACTATCATGTGTTTGGATAAAGTTCATGAATGCTTTTTTTTTCATGTTTTTAAAAATTTTAATTTATACAATTATGTGTCAAACTCATAAACCCGCCTCCCTCCAAAACTTGCATTGATTCCTAAACCTTGTAACTTGGCATTTTGAGCTATGGATTTAAATTAAAATCATCACTCTAATGCATGTTATTGGTTTGGACCACATACTCCATACTTAGAAATTGTGAGCCAAAAATACCCTATGTGACAATGTCGTGTCAAGTGGGGTTATTGTGAGCCAAAAATACCCTAGAGAGGTTTGTAACATGTAATTTTATTTATTCTTTGAGCAAGAATCAGGATTTTTCTCAATAATGTTAAAATATGAATATTGTTTATATAAATATTTTATAGAAATACATAAGCATCTATGTAAGTAAAGAATAAATATGAGAAAAAGTGATAAAGACAAATTTATACTAGTAGGATTAAAATAAAGTAAAATTTGTTCCTTGTAATATTTATAATAGTTTGAAACAAATTCTTATATATATCCTTTGCGTAGTAACAAGCATGAAATAATGAGAAGTGTCGCAAGTCAAAATAATAAAACAGAGAAAGTATGTGCTGAGATGCTTATAAGTCATTTTAATATAGGAAATTGCATATATTTGCCAATAGTGTTTTATTGCATGTGAACTTATCAAGTTTAAATGTTTTGTTTGTCAGCTATATATGTAATTATAACATGCCTTTACGGCGGTTCTAGTAAGCATTTGATGTTATAATTTGTTAAACAGGCAACTTTCCAACTGTCTACGTCATTTAATTTTTTCCATCTTTAGTTAATAATATATCTTGCTTGGACCTAGTTAACAATAAAATTATTGTGAACCCTGTGTTCTACATATATAATTCGAGGAGCATAATGACCTTAATTTTAATTTCTGTCTTTTTAATATTGTATCACTTGCCTTTTAAAGAATTTTCACAAATATTACATCATTTTCATTTTAGGACAAAGAATATCTCTGTTCAAACTGCAAATACTCAACATACTCTTACTTTTTCATACTTATTTTTTATTTTTATTATTATATCACATGTACAATTTTGTATTTTTACGTTTTTTCCACTATTAAATTTTTTGTGTCCAACACATATGATGTAATAATAAAAATATGTAGGAACTAGGAAGTATATATAGTGAACTTGATAATATTTGTGTGAAGATATATATTATTGTGAACTAAAGGTCCATATTTGTCATCGATGTTATGTTAAATAATGACCTTTATTATTAATATTGACCATTATATTAATTTAAGACTCTTATTATAATAATTACGAAGAATGTGCACTGGAAATATTTAACCCTTGCCTTGTGGCTATTTTTAAAAATTACGAAGAATGTGCACTGGAAATATTTAAAATGGATACTGAGTTGATTTCCAACATGCCTAGTGGTCTTGGTTCCTCCTTAGTCTATGAAGCCATTTTCAAAAAGATGAGCAAGTTAGCTTTACAGATCTTGAGGTCCCCCCATCCTATTAGTTGCTCTGGTAATGTTATTGGCAACACTCCATTCCACGTGATACATCATACCGAAGGCTAATATGATAATAGAGCTGTTTGGTATTTACAAAAAAGAATCACCTAGCATTTCCATTAATCAACATCCCTGGTTAGTCAAGAACAAAGACGGAGATACCCCTCTGACATTGGCCATAATCAAAAGGAAAGAAATTCTGGCAAAATATTTAATGTCAGTGGATGAAAATGCAGTGATTGAAAGTGAGAAGAATGTTATGTTCCTGGCTGTCGAGAATGAATGTCATGCAGTTGCCGAAGAGATATTGACGATAATCGATAACAAAGGTTGGACTCAACTTCTTACTAACCATCGCAACTTGACTGTCTTGCATCTTGCACCGTTATGCACAGGTGAGTTCACTATTTATTTATCTTTCTTTCTTTTTTATTTTTAGCATCATCATTGTTAATAAATAACAAGTTTATGTCATGTTTTATCCAACATTTGTTGACATAGTGCTACACAATAATTCAGACATTATATAATCTCTATATTTAATAATTTTTTTGTGAAAATAAATAAATAAATAAAGGCGCCTAGGATCTTGTTAGATAGCTTTTTAAAATACTTTCCTTGGTATTAGAATGATATTTTAGTCAAAAAAAAAAAAAAAAAATCAAATAGGAAGCTACATCCAAAAATGGAAAGACTATCATCCATATATAAATTTTTCTTATACTCCCTCCTTTTTTTTTTATTGACGTATTTTTATACTACCTCTGTTTTTTTATTATGTGCAACAAAGGGATATTATTTGTGAGACATAAAGATTCCCTTGTTGCACGTATAATTGCACATAATAAGAAATGGAGGTAATATATCAAAATAATTTTATAACTAACATAAATTTTATTGCCATAAAAAGTTGGTGAAAAATAATTAAAAGAACGATTATATTGATGTTATCATAGATTAAAATATTATTCTAATTACCTTATATATATTAGTATAATTTAAAAATTTACCTAGTATATTGTTGAATATTTTTAATATACTATGCTAGCATTTTTTTTTTACACAAAGTATATTCTAGTTAAGTATGTATAGATTAAATATGATTACTAATATTAAAAAAATAGTGTTATAGGTTATAAATTGAATGTCATGAATATATATGTGGCAAAAAAAAGAGAGAGAAAAAAAGGCTAGAATGTTTTAACCCGAAGAAGACATACATGTGTCAACCCTAATTATTTCGCTTTTGATGTGTCTTTATTGATCAAAAACTTTTGTTTACATTTGGTTTACAATATAATTAGTATTAATCGAACAATGGAATAAGTTTCGTAAAGAAGATTTTTTTATTTTCACTCATTGAGATTTAATGTTTACTCTTGTAAAAGGGTAATTATATCGATAACGCATAACTTACTTTTATTTAAACTGGAGTAACTTTCATTTATATTGGGGTAAATTTTATTTAATTAGGGTTTTGATTATTTTTAAACCTTTTAATAAATTAATGTACAATACTTATTGTACACCTGATTTTTGTTAAAGTTTATGTTTAATGATTGATTAATTATCCATGTTCTATGTACTTTTACGTTAAAAAGTCTACAACAATAATTAATAATTAAAAATACTGAGATTAATGACAATTGAATTTAGGAAAATTTAACAGGAATAATCCAACTTTTTATCCGTTCTCCCGTATTAATCCCACCTTTTGATTATTCCTCATTAATCCAACCTTTGCCCCCCTTTTTCTCACAGCAACCCTTACAGGTCACTTGACCATTTTAACCGGTTATAAGTGCTGACGTGGCACTTCCTAATTGGTTTTTTGTTTTTTTTTTAATTTACTTTTTTTTTAATTTTAATATGTAAAAAAGAAAAAAAAAAACATCTCAGCCACCCCCTCCTCCCTTCAGCCACCTTACACCCACCATGAAAACCTAGGCCATGGTAGCTCTACCCATTTTCTTCTCCCAACACCGCAGCTCCGCCGTCGCCACCATCGCCTCGATCACCTGCCCCCTCCGACCAACTGCAGCCCCACGCTGCTGTTCACGACCACCCATGAAACTCCCTTCTCTCTCCTCCGCGCCGACGAACTACCAGCAGCGCCATGCACCTGAACTGCCACCACTCCCTGCCGCTACCGCTCCACCTCCTTCTTCCTCCTCCAACCCCAAAAACCACCGGTCACCCCAAATATCACCAGTTTTCAAAGTTTAGGGAGAAGTGAGGTAGGGGTTCAGATTGGTGGAGGGGGTAGGGTGAGGGTTTCGGGGCTGGTGGGGGTGGGGGTGGGGGTAGGGGTAGGGTGAGTACAAGACCCCTCACCGGCACTACAACGGCAGCTACACCGACAGCAGTGCTGGCCTCCACCACCTCCAATTCGATTATGATTATGCGATGTTGATGATGGTGATTGGTGAATGTGAGCAACCAACATGATTAAGGAAGAGGAAGGTCGGTTTGGGGGGGATTTGTATGGCTGGTCTTTTTTATTTTTTTTTGTTTCTTTTTCTTTATTTATTTACTTTCTTATTTTATTTTTCATTTCTTTTATTCTTCTCTTAATTAAAAAAAAAAAGTAAATTAAAAAAAAAAACAAAAAACCAATAATTAGAAAGTGTCACGCAGCACTTGTAACCGGTTGTACCGGTAGTCAACCTCCAAGGGTTGCTGTGAGAAAAAGGGGGCAAAGGTTGGATTAATGAGGAATAATCAAACGGTGGGATTAATATGGGAGAATGGACAAAAGGTTGGATTATTCCTGTTAAATTTTCCTTGAATTTATTCATACACCATTATCTAAAAAGTACATAGGAATTAAAATATAAAATAAAGTTAAGTTTCTTTTGCGTATATTTTTTAATTATGAGTGATTGATATATAAATTATTTAATAGAAATTCTTCTATAAAAGCAGAAAACTTCTGTGCACGACTAATCGAAGGACATCCAGGATTAATAAAAAAGGTTGATAAAGAAGGATCTACAATAGTTCACTTTTGGATAAAAAGTGACAAAGAATGGTTATTTAAATTCATACTTGAGAGCAAGTGGAAGGTTTCGTTTGTCAAACTTATTGATGTTAAGGATTATAATTACCAAAATAATCCTTTTCACGTCGCTGCAACTAGCTCTCATGAAGCAACAAACCAAATTGTACAACTCCTTGTAGAAGCTTACAAAAAAAACAATCTAAATTGGGATGAAAAAGATATAGATATGTTGCCGTGGTTTGAAAAGAATAAAGAAAATGAAGGACCTCTGCACTTGGCAATACGCCATAAACATGAAGATCTTGCACTGTACATACTGTCCCTTGTCAAGAATGATCAAAAGGTAGATCTAGAAGAGCTACTAGATTATTTCATGCCGGAGCACTCTACATTGTTTCTTGCTATGGAAAATAATTGCGTTACAGTAGCCAAATTCATACTGGAAAATTTGGATAAAGACGAACGAGCCAAATACCTGAAGAATTTCTTAGATGGCCGGAATATATTGCATCTTGCTACAGATTTAGTAGGTAAGATTTCTTCCACTCTAGGTGTACTCACTTTAATAATAATAATAATAATATTATTATTATTATTATTATTATTATTATTATTATTACTTTATTAGTTCCACTTTGTATTCATTTTGTGGATCCAATTTAATTGAAAAATTATGACTTTAATTAAGAAAAGACATTTAAAAGAGAATGAGAATTTTATTAGAGAATGATTAAAGGAATATTATAATTGTTTTAACTTTTTGTAAAATATGAAAGCAGACGAAAAGTTCGGGGCATTACTAGTAAACGAAGAACCGGAACTCATCACCGAAAAAGACAACAATGGACAATCATCTTGGGATAAAGCATTTGAACTTGGTCGTGTATGGTTTATACAAGCAGCTTTGGAAAAAAAACCGACTGTGTTCGATAGCGAACCACGGCCTTGGATTAAAGCATGTGAGAATGGTCATGTCTCAGCTCTTCGAGCCTTCATCGACCATATTCCAAGAGAATTTCTATATCTTTGTATTGAGTATAAGGATTCTCCTTTACATCACATTAAACTTTCAAGTTTAAAACACTATGAAGAGTTTCTTAAGATTCCACGCATGATGGATCTAATTAATCTTCAAGATTCTACAGGTGCAACACCTTTACACAAAGCAATACAAAATGCAGATTTATTATTGACTGAAACTTTACTCACCATTGATATGGTATTATATGACATCAAGAACGATGAAAATGTCTCTGCCATAGATCTGTTGGCTCAAAAATGTGAAGACAATCAAGCATGTCCATGGGTATGATTTCTTTCTAATAAATTTTATTCCATTACATGTTATCAAATGCTTTAATAAAAAAATGATATTTTTTTTTTTCTCTGTTTTTGATATTAGTTTGTTGTAACATAATAAGATAAGATTTTTCAAACTTTGAACATTCTCCGATTTCATGTACAAAGCTTTAATTGGATTAATTATATGATAGGAATGATTGATGTAGAATAGCATATGAAATAAGTTTTTTATACATCATAGTTTCTGTTATAGTTCATCATGGACTAAGCCGAGATGGGCTTAAGTCGATCGGGCAACAAAATAACTACAAAAGTTAAAAATCCTTGTCTATGGCCTGCCTTAAAAAAGTGGGATGGGACGGGTTGAGCCCGACTTCGAGCAAATTATTTTTGTCCAAAGACCGCCAAAATCAAACCGGGCCGAGTTAGGCCTATCTTAATCACCTCCCGTTACTTTAATTTTTATATTTTGTTGGATGAAATGAACATCGATCAATTTTGAATCATTACAGGACAAGATGTGCAAAAGACATGGTCTTAATCCAAAGATTAAAACAACGTACTTTCGAGCTAAGACGAATTTGTTGGATGTGCGAAATTCTCTGTTTGTGGTAGCTGCTTTACTAGCCACTATTACATTCACAGCTGGATTCACTCCCCCCGGTGGATTTACTCAAGACACCGGTGAAGCAACTTTGGCAAAGAAGGCAACTTTTTTGGTGTTTTTGGTATCTGATACACTAGCACTATTTTTTTCAATGTTGGTGTTGATTTGCCTCATATGGTCTATGGTTTACGAATCTAGTCAATCTTTGTTTTTGATTGATCGAAGTATGGTGTTACTCCGTTTTGCATTAAATAACACATTATTGGCATTTATGACGGGAGTCTACGTTGTCATAGCTCCAAAGTCATTGTGGGCAGCTATTTTCATTATTGTCATCGTGAGCTCTCTCATTGGAATTTCAATCAGCAAGACTCTCTTGTACAAAGCACTATTGTATCTAGACAAGTTTTTCCCTTCTCAAAATATGAAGAAGTGCAGAGATCGATTTCATTTGATGGAATTGGTAAGCTTTTTGTCAAATAACTTTTACTTCATACTAGTTTCTTCTATCTTTGAAATTGATAATCTTGCAAATTTTACTCCATGGTTGTGCATAAATGCATGCATAACAGTAATTTCACTCCGAAACTCTTGTATTTGTGCACTTAACAAGTTTATTGAAAAATTAGCTATCAAAATATAATAGAAATACAAGAGAATGAGTAGAAAGTATACACATCTAATACTTAAATTAATGTATTTGTATTGCAGGGGTGCATCTCCAATAAGAATGAGTAGAGTTCGTGCTTAGTTTTCGATACCAAAGTTCGAACTCAGGTCGATGATTTGATTTACATGCAGGTTGTATAGAACTAAGTTCACTTCATGTTTTATTTATATACGGAGTTGAAGAACTCGAGAAAAGTGGATGGAAATAAAGCTCAAGTGTGTTATTTGTTGTAAATATATATATTATGATTATACATGATGAGTACATACAACATTCTTAATGTCATTTTATTTAATTCAGAAATTAACCTTTTTATATTATGAAAATTTAAAATATTGTTTTTTTGCGTATAGTGCCAAGGAGATTTACTTGGACTTGTTGATTTATAATGATGATTCGGACTTCTTGGGATGCTGATCGAGTAAAGGCAAACAACATAAGCGTGGTGTGCTGATTAGGGGGTTGTTGATTAGGCCTGGCTTTGTGGGATGCTTATCGAGTGAAAGCTTAAGAGGAGAGAGAGAGAGTTCATATGTAGTACGAAAGTAATTAGGGGGGGGGGGGGGGGGGAGAAGAAGGAAAGGGGAAGAAGAAGAGAACCAGGAAGACAGAGTATAGTGAGGATTGAGAAATGATTAGGGATTTGCTATACATCGCCAGCGTTTTTTATATAACGCCCATAAATTTTAGGTGAATTTTCCATTTTGCCCTTCTATATAAAAAAACAAACTCAACCTTCATTCATTATTTCAAATCTAAGTTTTCAATTGTTTAATTTAAAAAAAAGTGAGGAAGTTTGAGACCGTGAACCAACGGCCACAATGGTCATGAGGGCTAGCCGTCTGAACCGGACGATTAGACGATGGTCAATCCAGTCTGGTTCAGCCGGCCTGGTCAAGCCGACTGAACCGGTCGTCTAGTTTAGGTGGCCCCCCTTGTTTTGTTTTTTAGTTTTTTTTTTTTTGTAATTAATAAATAATTATATAATTAATTGTTTTTTTATATAATTAATAAATAAGTATAATTAATAAATAATTATATAATAAATTATTATTATTTTTTTTTTTTTAAAAATAATTAATTTATTACAATATAGACAATAACTGAGTAAGCTATAAATATATAAGTTACGTATGTAAAATAGTTTATCATACTACCATCTCAACAAATAAAGCTCTATTTTGTTATTCAAGTTTAATTAAAAAATACAAATATCCTCTATTAGTGTGAGTACTTGTATTCACATGGAAAATTGAGATCTACCAGAATACGCGGTCCACGTCGTCTAATTACGTCGGGTTTGAGATGATTTAGGGGAATTTCGAGGGTACATGAAACTCGGGAGGTCATAAATATGGCCTTGGGGGTTCAATCGGGGCGATTTTTTTTTAAATACCTTATTTTGAAGGGCACAAATTAGAAATCCAACCGGATCGGCCGCCCAATTCCAGGATGGAGAGATATTGTGTCCAAACATTGAGGTCCATAACTCGGGCTCCGGGTGTCCGATTAGGGTGAATTTGATTTTGAAACAGCTTGTTTTATCGAGATCTAGGGCGTGGCAAGTTCCCAAAGAGAACTTGGCCTCAAAAAATCCTAAAATGCCCAAAAAACACCTCTAAAAAGGAAATTGAAAATTAACCGATATCCCTTATACAAGTAAGGGGTATAAAGGTAAAAAAAAATCTTATTCGATTCTTGTATTTTCTAATTGATTGATATTTCCCTTTTGTTAATTAGGCTATCTAATTGATTGATTTATTTTTTAATTAGTTTTTTAAAATTTGTCTTGCTATTAATCCAATCAATTAATTCTTTTCTATCAATCCAATATTCTTTGCTATTATCAATTAATTCAATCATTTCATCCCTTGTATAATTACTAAATTAATTTAAATTAGTTTGTCTAAATTAATAAAAAAAATTCTTAATTAATCTAAATTATTATACATAATTATTAATTCATCTAAATTAATAAAAATTAAAATAAATCAATAAAAACAATTCTAAATTACTCTAAATTATTATTTTCTATTTTGGTTAATCTAAATTAATTAAAATTAGTCTAAATTAATACTAATTAGTCTAAATTAATATAAAATATTCTAAATTATTATAAATCATTGTTGATTAATTGAAATGTATAACATATTTATAAAAGAAATTGCACAGCGGTCGTTTGTTCTAGACAACCAGGCCGTGGTTCGGCTGTCCGTTTTGGACGGCCGCCGCGCAATTTGGGTGGTTCGACGAAATTTACCTCGTTTCTGGCGATGTTGTAGGCTCGAATAACTCCTCCGGTGATTTTTGAGAGTTCGACATTTTTTTAGATGAAAATTTGAATTTTTGGAGAAATTAGGATGAAGGAAAAATTGGGAAAAAAATAAGATTTGCGAGCGTTATGTGGAATTTTGCGGGCGATGAATAGAAGTTCACAATAATTAGGGGGTTGTCTATTTTCTTATTGGTCTAAAATTTTAAATTTAATTATTTTATATTTTTTTTCTAATTGGTTAACTAAAGAGATTGAATTGTTTGACTACTCAATTTTTTTTCTTTTAATTAATTAAATCCCACTAAAAACTCAAGCCTAACCTAGCCCAGCTCTATTTTCCTCACTAACAAAATACTTCATTCGTTCTTTTTTTATCGCATCACTTGCCTTTTATAGGAAGTTTTACAAATATTGCATCATTTCCATTTTAAGACAAAAAAATCTCTGTTCACACGGAAAATACCCAACATATACCCTTACTTTTCCACACTTACTTTTGATTTCATTTTTACATTACATGGACAATTTTTTATTTTTACGTTTCTTTCTCATACTTTTTTCCACTATAAAATTTTTCCTCTAAAACCCCTATAATGCGATAAAAAAAGAACAAAGGAAGTATATATTTTCTTTTCTCCACATTTTGCAAGAGTTGAGTCTCTTATTTTATAGGAAAATTCTACATTATGACCCTGTGGTATTGACTTTTCCAAACTGTACCCAGCGTTTTTGAAATGTCTACACCTTGACCCTGAAGTACTGTTAGTGAGCATACTATAACCCTGCCGTTATCTCACCGTTACTATTCCGTTATCTTAATTAAAAAAAAAATTAAAACCACCCTAAACCCCTTCCCCCACGCACCAGCTCACCCACCCTCCTACCCCCAACAAAATAATCAAACAACATAATAATCAAATATTCACCAAACGAAAAGACGAGGAATGCGATGTCACTCCCACTGACCTTCTTGTAAACACAAGACTCATCTGGATTCTTAATAAAACCCAACTTACTAATGGCTTCATTGAATCGCAGATTCTAACTTCTGCTTGCCTGCTTTAATCCATAAATGGACTTCTTATGCTTGCAAACCTTCCCAGCATTGCTTGGATCAACAAAACCTTCCGGCTGTGTCGTGTACACAGTTTCTTCCAAAATCCCATTACGGAAGGCGGTTTTGACATCCATTTGTCATATTTCATAATCGTAATGTGTGGAAATTGCTAGGATAATCCGGACATACTTAAGCATGGCCGCGATTGGCGAAAAGGTTTCATCATAATCAACGCCGTGAATTTTCCTGTAACCTTTTGCCACCAATCTAGCTTTTTTTATATAGATACATTTCCATCTTTGTCGGTTTTCAACTTGAAAATCCACTTGCAACCGATAGGTGTGAAACCTTCGGGTAAATCAACCAAGTCCCAGGCTTGATTTTCAAACATGGAGTCCATCTCGGATTTCATGGCTTCTTGCAATTTTGTAGAGTCGGGGCTCATCGTAGCTTGTTTGTACGTCGCTTGCTCATCTTCATCCATAATAAGGATGTCTTGATCTTCAATTAAGACAACACCGAGGTATCTGTCTGGTTGAGATCTTGGTCGTTACGACCTACGCAGGGTAATAGATTGAGCATTTGCATTGTCGGTTTAACTCTAACTAATGTTAACAGCTGCTTCTAAAGCATTTTGATTGTCAGTTTTGTCAGGTTGACTTTGTTGCTCGTCCTCTCGAACTTCATTGAGTTCGATTTTCCTCCTACTTGTCATTTGGGAAAGGTGCTCCTTCTCCAAAAAGACACCATCACGAGCAACAAACACTTTGTTCTCAGATTTGTTGTAGAAATAATACCCCTTAGAGATTACACACCAAAACTCTTGGAACGTATATACCTTGAGTATGAACCTATGGGGGGGGGGGGTTATGCGACTTTATATTTGACCATAACTCCTACTGGGGGTATAAGACGATGTACTTTCCTTTTTATTATTTATTATGCGCAGGATACAGTCACTACATGTGATATTTGCCTACCCGGTTAGCTCCCATTGTAGTTTACCTCATTTGTTTGAGGCAGGGATTGGTTGGAAACCCGTTCAATGTGTAATCAAAATTAAATGAATATTGTTAGTAGTCTAGTCAAGTGATGAATGTTGTGTGCTTGTAAACAGGTGCATCAAGGTAAGTTGTATGTTGATAGGATGAAAGCATGTTAGTGTGTTCTAATTACGCTTATGTATACAGCTTTGCTGATTGTGTGTGTTGCATGTTTCTTTGGCCTTGTCTTTACCTTGTCCCTACGATGACCCATTTTTAATGGCGAGTAGTGGGGACTGGTAGAGAGAAGCTTTCAGATGATGAAGCATAATTATGATGGGACATGAGTGAAGAACGAATCATGCTTAGTTCTTATAGGAATGTGATGTGTTTATTTGCTTTGAATTATTATTGCTCATGAGACTAACGCAAGTTTTAAAAGTATTTGGATTTAAGGGCCTACAATGGTTCCAAATTTTAGGTTGACTTCGTTTGACTTCGGTTGACTTTTACTTTCGTTTGGTTTGACTTTTAAGTTGACTTGATTTTTAATAGTTTTAAAGGTAGTTTTTCGCTGTGTATCTTTGATAATTGCCATAGTCGTCTTCACGGTGGCGGTAATATCTTAGATTTTCTTTTTTCGTATTTTAAAAAGGGAAAAATAGGTATTTCAAAAGAAATGAATTTCTAGGGTGTTACATCCGCCTTTCTCTTTTTACCGGCTGCCCTTGAAGCCGGTACTTCCTGATTGCA